CAGCTCAAAAACAAGATGAACAGTGTGTTAGCTGCAGCTCAAATCTGAAAACCACAACCAAAACCCAACTCCCCTATTTATGGCAATATAATGAACGTAGTAAATTATACAATAGCAGTGTGAGTGATCTAATAGCTTGGTCCCAGGAAAGATTTTGCTGAACACAGTGACGCATGCCTATAATCCCTGAATTCAGGAAGACTGTGAGTTCAAGGCCAGCCTAAACTATACAGTGAGACATTGCCAACAAGCAACAGTAAAAAGAGATTGCTGATGAAAGGAGACAACCGATGACAGTGTTATTGGGGAAAGCCATAGATTAGTGTCTGACTTTTATTCCCCCTCAACTGTACTTCCATAAGTAAGGCACAGTTTTATTCAGGGAACAAAGAAACTGGAATATAGCTTGGTGAGGGAGTGAGTGACCATGATGGGCAAGGTACTGGGTTCTACTTTCAACAGCACACACACAGGAAGACAGAATTACCTGAATATAACAGTATTTCTAGATATGTCTGGATTCCCTAATGGTTCTGAATCACATAGTTATTTACATTAATTCAAAATTTCGGTTTTTTATTTTTCCATAAAGCACAGAATTAAAATGTGATAATTCTAAAATTTGTTGCATACCCCACTTTAGCAAGTGATTAGGATCGCTATTGGATGCTTAGGATAGGATGTTCAGCAGCTAGAGAGATGGTTCAGCAACTAAGGTGTACTGCTTTGCAGAGGGCCTGAGCTGTGTTCTGAGCACCAACTTCAGACAATTCACACTGCCTCTAACTCCAGCTCTAGGGGTATCCAAACCTCAGATCTGCAGGTACATGTACACACACACACACACACACACGAGATAAAAAAACAAATGTTCTTTAAAAAAAATATTTTTTAAAAAAATCTTAATTATCTAGGATTCGTTTAAGAAGTGCATGTCCCTAACTTGGATACTGCAACCCTGTAAACCTGGGACCAATAATTTGCACTAAAAACAAGTTCTTGGCCAAGGCTAATGGCTCTGATCTAATACACCCCTGGCTTAGAAAAATAAATTCTGAAAACTGTATTATTCCATTCCTACTGGTCTTTAGACATTTTGAAGACACCAGTGCAGCTGAATGATAATCTCTGTGCCTCAAAAGACGCTCCATCAAACATCACTTGAAATCATCTCCATCAGCAGTTCATTCTAGCTGCTGCTCTGTACACACCTATAATCACACACACACACACACACACACACACACACACACACACACACACAATTTTCTAAGTGCCTTTTCAACATCCCTAACTCGCAAGGGAGTAAAGGAGTGTGTATGGTCTCATGTAATCTAAGGTTTAAAGGTGGGGATAGAAAGGAAATAAACAGAGCAAGTGCAGCAATTCATATTAGAACCAAGGAGTCACAGAAGGGACAGTGAAGAGAAAACGGAAGAGACAAGACAGCACCAGCTAAAAGCAGAACAAACAGGTTAAAAAGTGCAATCAAGGGCAGTCCAAATCAACACCAGCATTGAGCAGGCTGAGGCAGGGAGACCCCACCCCTAGGCCAGCCTATGTTCTTTGGGAAAGCCTATCAGACCAAAAAAAAAAAAACCAAACCAAGGGGGAAAAGAAGGTGGCAGGGCAAAGCTGGCCTGGGGAACTGAGGGTTACATATTAATCAGGGAAGTATAAACGTGAAGGAGAACTGAGAAGGTTCAAAGTCGGCATGCAGACCCTTGGGAGCCCCTCACATGGACACTGGGCCTGCCTCTTTGCAGTCTCCTGCATCCTGAGACAATCTGTAGCTACAGATGAAACCTACGCTCTAAAGGAGTAATGCGAAGGGGAAGCACATGAATTCAGATGAAGTAGCCAAACGCCATCTAGGAACGGGGCACTGGACGAGGACTTCCCAGATTGCAAGACTCAGGACGTTTTGACTGAGTTTTCAGTATGTGTTCAAGTGGTGTGTTAGGTCATCTAACCAAGTCTTAGGCTTCTTCACAAGCACTCTACACCTGAACTACCTGAACCACAGCTGAGGCTTATCAAACGCTAGCCAACACAGATTTCTATTATTTCCCAATTTCACTTTAAGCTTTAGGTATTAATTGGATATGTCCACCTGAAAGCACTTAGCCAATGCTAGGCATGTAACAAATATCTATTCTCTGCCCCCAAGGAACTAACTATGGAATGAACTATAAAACCTGTACTTCATTATTGCCCATAATCGCTTAAATATGTGTGTGTGTGTGTGTGTGTGTGTGTGTGTGTGTGTGTGTGTGTGTGTGTGTGTTATATGTGCCCAAGCTGAGGCTAGAATAGGGTACTGGGTTTCTTCCTGTTTTTCTCTGCCCCGTTGCCTTGAGATAGGGTCTCACACTAAACCTGAAGCTATCCTGGCTATCGTAGCTGGCCAGAGAGCTCCTGGGATCTGCCTGTGTCCACCCCAGTACTGGCACTTGTAGGCATGCCCAGCTTTTAATGCAGGTGCTGGGGAATCAAACTCAGGTCCTCATGTTTACACTGCAAGGGTTCTTACCACTGAGCTGTTTCCCCAGGCCCTGCTTAAATACTTGAGGTAAGAATCTGGTGCTCAGCCATCTGCAGTTTACTAAATGCCATGGTGATACTGATCGTCCTACATACAAGTCTGGACTACTGACCAAGTAACAGAAACCCCTTTTTGTAGTTTCTGCTTCACTGACACTTCCAGGACTTTGCCAACTCCCTCCCCTTAGTCCCATGCCTTCCTGTCTTTTACCCAATGAATTAGATTCACAAAAAAGCACACAAAAAAACTCTTCAAAAAGAACATAAAACTTTATTAAGATCTTATACTGTCATCAGATACAGCTAAGGAAAGGGTTTGTAAAAGACAGGGAGAATCCTCTTCCCGTGTGCTTCTGCCACCTCAGCCTGGATGGCAGCAAAAGCTCTGTAGAAATAAACCAGGAACTGACACAACGTTCCCTCTCGATACAGAGCTGAGTTCACCGTCAACAGCTTCTTTGTAGAGCACAACCAGGAAGCCGGCCGGGCTCCTCTCAGGAGTACCTGCTACCAGCCAGGAGAGCAGGGCTTTGTGACTTCACATCCTGTCCGTCAGAGCGGGAATTCGGGAAGGCCTCCAGCCTCCCAGTCACTGTCCTCTTGTCCAGACTTCTCAGACAGTCCATGAACCACACCCGGTGACACTGCTCAGACAGTGACAGCAGACAACATTCTCTGAACTCTGAAAACCATGGTGGCCAGCTCATCTAGCTTTTGTTCCTTCTAAGGGGTTTCTTATGGAGAAGCCCTGACTCAATGCTGTGGAGCGCTGCCACACAGCGGCAGGGGTGCTCTTCCTCAGGAAGGCTGGTGCAGAGCACAGCTCATTTCCAGGCTCCCATCTCCCCGTGTGGTTCTTTTACTTACTGTAGTGTTGCAGGAGCAGAGGGGCACCCGGAAATCTGTTCAAATTGCCACTGCAGACAGCTCTCTGCACTGTTTGTGGAGAGAAGAGGAACGGTGTCCATTCCCAGCACAGGACCTTGCTGCCAATGTGACACACTTTTCCCTGAGGGCCAGGACAGGTTGCTCTCACACTCCTAATCTGCCTCAGGTACATAGTGGAGAAAATGTCCATGATTTAGAGTTTGGTATTTTATACCCCTCACCTAAGCCCATTTCTTTTTTTCTTCCTTTTTCTTTTCTTTTCTTTCTTTCTTTTTTTTTTTT